AGGTTAGTGAGTGAATTAATCTGCATTCTGTCATGATAACTTATAATTCTCCCAATGTGCTGGATCCTTTGTATAACTAGCTCATTGTAATAAAATACCAGAAGGTCCCCATGTTCAAGGTTGAATTTGCTGAATAGGATTTCTAGGTATAGATACAAACTTCATCTTCAGTTTCGAGGAAGAGTCTTTGTTATCACCACTGCAAACAGCACATTCCCATATTTGTTTTTCTCCTCTTCTGCTTGAGCCAAACAAATGAAACAAATGCAAGTCCTGGATGTAGAGTTTTGCTTGTGTGTGACCTCAGTCATTCCTGATGTTGCTATAAGAATATTCCATGGGCAACACTGCACCACTGAAACCAAATTTTCCATCATTGTAAAAAGCAATGTTATCCTGACCTGACCTTATTAAAGTAGGCAATTCAACATGTTCTACCATAACATTCTTTGAAGCCATACGCTTTCCATTTCTTGCCCTCAAGCAGCCCAAGAGTGCCAAGAAATACTGGGTTTTGTCATTGTTTGTAGCAAAATCAGCCACATTCTAAAAGAACCGTGGCTTCTGTTGAGGGGTGAGATGGCCAAAGTAGCCAAATACCATTGGGGTGTGAGAGAATGAAAGGATCATGTCCAACCCATGTGTTTATTTCTTAGGTGGTGTGAGGTTCTCATTGGGTAAACTTTATAATCTCATTTTCACAAAGGGACTCACTGAGCTGAAATTGTGTTTTTGTCAACATTTCTCACAGATAAATAACGTACCTAGAATAACTATTTCTTCTAACATCAAAACTTTAGAGAGGTTCATTTTTGAGATGATTTTAGTAAAACATAGTCCACGAGAGATAAAGTGATTGAAATCACGACATGAAAACTTAACAGAAGTGGGAATAAGTCCTTAACATGAGTTGCATTCATGGAAAAGAGAGCACAGTATATGACTTGAGTATACAAGAGAGAGTATAAAGTGACTCTGTAGTTATTTTCATGGCACATTGCAGAACGGGGGGCACTGGCACATACAGAACTAGGACAGGGAGACAAGTCTGTGTAGGAATCTTGTCTCATATTTATATCCTTTGGTAATGTCATAAACTTTAGTTGTTATTAGTATGCTATAACTGTAACCTGCTCTAAGAGTAAGATTACCCAGGGTAGAAGTCATGTTGCCCCTTCCAATGTTACTGAACTACAGCACCTAGCATCCCCAAAGCATTGGCTGTCTCAGCCCGCTGGTTCAGTGAAATACATCCAAGGGTATTATAAGAACTGTCAGAAGTAATTTCAGAACCACTGACAATCCTCTTTCAGAATTCCTGGAAAACAGGAGATGTTCTAACAGACTGAAAGAGAGTAAATGTCCCCGTCTTGGGAGCCAGGAGAGACACCAGCAATTACCATCCTGACATCAATTCCAGGAAAGATTCTGGAGCAGATAATTAAGGAGGCACTCTGTAATCATTTAGAAAAGAACACTGTGATCCCTAAAAGTCAACACGGGTTTCTCAAAAACAAGTCATGTCAGACTAATCTTACCTCTTTTTTCGATAAAGTTACAAGCTTGGTAGATACAGGGAATGTGGATGTAGCATATCTTGATTTCAGTAAGGCCTTTTACAAGGTTCCCCATGATCTTCCTGCAAACAAACGAGTAAAATGTAGGCTAGATAATACTACTTTTAGGTGGATTTGTAATAGCTAAATGATCGAACCCAAAGGGTGCTCACCAATGGTTCCTCTTCATCCTGGAACGAAGCGACTAGTGGGCTCCACTGGCTTCTGGAAGCAGAGGGCACTAAATTAGGAGGGATAGCTCCTGATCTAGAAGTCAAGATCAGACTTCAAAATGACCTCAACAGATTAGAAAGCTGGGCAAAACCAACAAAATGATTTTCAACAAGGAGAAATGTAGGATACTTCACTGAGTTAGAAAAACCAAAATGTCCAAATACAGGATGGGTGATGGCTGGCTCAACAACAGAACATGTTAAAAAGATCTTGGAGTCTTAGGACCCCATCAGATGGGACTTTTCCCCATCCTAGAATGCTGCCGGGATGGAGCCCATCACATGATGTAGGGCTACTTCCAACGGGGCTCCATCCCAACTCCGTCCTGCCTGCATCGTAGCAGCATGTTGGGAGGCTGCCCTGAAAATACAAGTGACTACTCGTATTCTCATTGACTAATTGGGACAGCACAAGATGAAGCTGGGGGCAGATGGGAAATGCTGTGGGATGGTAAGGGAGCAATGCGGGGTGCTGACTCAATGAATTTGCCCTACTTACCCATGGATTCCCCTGCTGTCCCCCAGCTTATGCACTTCCCTCTGATGAGGTCCTATGTGGACAGCAAGTTGAACATGAGCCAACAGTTCGATGCAGCAGCTAAAAAAGCCAATGGGATTTTGGGCCTCGTGAAAAGGAGTATACTATCTAGATCAAGTGAAATAATGGTGCCCCTCTATTTGGCTTTGGTCAGACCTCACCTGGAATGCTGTGACTAAAGGAGGGTACCTAAAATGACCAAAGGTTTAGAAACCAAGCCCTATGCGAAATGGCTGAGGGAACTGGGTATGTTAAGCTTGGAGAAGAGAAGGCTAAAAGGGGACATGATTGCTATGCAGCTCTTGCGACTAGGACATGGAGCAATGAATTCAAATTGCAGGAAAAGAAATTCCACCTAAATATTAAGAAAAACTTCCTGATGGTAAGGGCTGTTCGGCAGTGGGACTTTCTGCCTTGGAAGGTGATGAAGTTCCTTCTATGGAGATTTTTAAGGAGAGGCTATTGGCCATCTGTCAGGAGTGATTGTGGTGTCCCTGTATGGTAGAATGAGATTGGATTATATGGCCCTTGTAGTCTTTTTCAACTTTATGATTATATGACATCACATAATTCCCATCCTTTATTTAAGCAGTTTCATTTGGGGAAGGAATTTCAGCTGATTATGCTATCCATATATATATGAGAGACACTTGTATCCTGAAGATATAATTCCCTGCTCTTTATTATCCTTGCTGTTGTGCCTTTTCTAATACGTAGTCTCACAAGAAATGTTTCTGGCTGGGTTTTTTCTTCTCTCCCCCATGCCCCCAATATAATCCATTGTTCTTAAAATATTTAATACCATGAACTGGGAGAGGGCATTTGTTTTTGAATGGGAAGGAGAAATCAGCCAACATACAGTCTGTAGAGATCTCCTCATTTTCCTGTTTTAATGCAAGTTTACCCATTAATTAAAGGTAGAGGTTTTCCCTGACATTAAGTTCAGTTGTGTGCAACTGGGGGGGGGGGGGGGGGGGGGGGGGGGGGGTTGGTGCTCATCTCCATTTCTAAGCCAAAGAGCCGGCGTTTTCCGTAGACACCTCCAAGGTCATTAGACTGGCATGACTGCATGGAGTGCCGTTACCTCCCCGACCGGAGTGGTACCTATTGATCTACTCACATTTTCATGTGTTTCAAACTGCTAGGTGGCAGAAGCTGGGCCTAACAGTGGGAGCTTACCCTGCTTCCTGGATTTGAACCTGTGATCTTTCGACCTTTAATTAGTTCCTTGGAATACATGTAAGAAATCTGCAGTGATTTCTCTTCCTCAGCTGCTGCATTTTGTTTGTAGCATGATGTTTTCGCAACTCGATTTCATATCACACAAACACTTTGATGAGGGGGAGTAGTAGGAAGAGAAGTGAGTCTCTTTTCTAAGCTTTAGAGGACTCTTCTGCTGTATGGTTCACCTTCTGGTTGTGTGTTGGCCAGAGGAGAAAGTATCTAAATGCATAGGTGTCCAGGCAGGAAACAGGACTCCCCTTATTTCAACACTGCCTTTGAATGAAGGCTGTGATCCTAATTCAAAAACCTGGGAGAAACGCCCAATGTATTTGTTGAAGCTGACTTCTCAGTCAATATAGGAATGCAGTGTAGCTGGAGAATGTAGATTTGATTGTAGAAATCACACACTTTCCTACTACTGCTTTAACCTTCAACATAGAAACCATTTTGAAATTCTCATTTTTCTCTCCCTAGCATACCATTTTGCCCTCCCCAACACTTTGCTGCTTCTTTTCCTAATGCACAAGTGACTAGTGTACAAGAATTTCATTTTTCTCACCCTACCCCAATCCTCTATGCCTTGGTCTCTTTTCTCTTGCTCTTTATGGTCTTTAGTACCCAGTGGTATGGTATTCTGCTGCTGTCAGTGTTGTGTTCCTTCAAAGGAAAGGAAGCTACTATAACTTAGAGCCAATCTACTCACAGACATGGTGTACTCTGGAATTGTAATCACTTCAGCATATATGTCGATAATAGCCTATCTCAAAGTAGCCCAATATGAGAAAACTCCACAGAAGTGGAAGGCAAATGCACTCTGTCTAACCCACTTATTTTCTGTGTGCAATGCAGGATGTCGGGTTGCAGCAAAAGTATTGCTATAAAGGGTGTTAGAATTTGGGGGAGGTGGATATGGGAGTTTGCCTCAGCCAGACTGTGCCATATATTTTACTTTTAATGAACATGTAGGTCAGGCCTCATAAAGGGCACAATCAAGGGAGTGCTGTTTTGTACAAATTGGTGGGGTGGCTGGAACAGGAAGCCCAAATGTCTTCTTACTTTTCCACAGAATTGTCATGTCTGAAGTACAATTCCAGCATCTTTCATTTTCCAGATGCGCTAGCTTCTAGCATAAGGAAAATACATAACGTGTGTTTTGGATGAAATGGTATTAGCGAAGACAGCAGATGTCTAGGTTTTGTCCTTCCTGTCTGTTGAACAGTTCTGTAGCACAAGGTGTTAGCATTCTTTGAGGCATGAGCTTTCATTGAGAAGAGCTAATTTCATCAGGTCAATGTAGGCAGAATAAGCAGTGTCTTTGGTACCCTGGACTGTCACTTACAAACCAAGAGCCTCAAGAAACCAATGAATGTTGGTTTCATGGCACACTCTCTGTTTGAACAGAAAACAGATAATGTGGTGGAATAATTAGTCATTAATTTTCCTTGCTAGGAACTGGTCACTCTTGTTTTGGATGAAGAATACAGGAAGAGGTTGCCCTCAGGCGACAGCAAAGAGCCCAGGCTGCCCCCAGAGACCCGTGGCCCTGTGATCCTGGAGGTTGGCTGTGGCTCAGGGGCAATTGCACTCAGTCTCCTGAAAAAGCTCCCTCATGTGAGTTACAAGTTTGTTATATTCACTAAAAATGTTTATTTATTTATTTATTTACTATTTTATAGCCCACTCTCTCTCACCCCGAAGGGGACGCAAAGTGGCTTACAAGTTATATACATATACAATATATTATATTATTAGCATATCACAATATTAGTATTATATATTACTATATTGTACTATACCACTATAATGCAATATTATTAGTAATATTACACGTAATATATAATATCATCTAACCCCCATTTCATCTGGAGTAACACAAGCAAGTGGAAGGGAGTCCCACTGCTTACAAAAGCTTGTATGCTAAACCTTGTGTCCTGTAGTGTATTATGAGAAAGTGAGACTTAAACTTAAATAATCTTTGATAAATAAATGAAGAGTAAGACCAAATACCACATTCGTTTCTTAGTTTGGAGGCAATCTTCATTAGTTTTCAAGATTCCAAAGGCCAGCTCATCTGGGAATTAATTAATCTGGCTGGAATAACATGAGCAGGCTGTAAGGAAGAAACAATACTAGTATCCAATGAAGCTGAATGGTATATGATTCAGGACAGACAAAAGGGCAGTGGATATTTAAACTGAGAAATTCTTTGAAACAGGATGTTGTGATAGCTACCAACCCAGATATCTTTAAAGGGGCTTTAAAGATATCCATGGAGATTAACTCTATCAATAACTATGTCTTGTGGTGACCTCCAGAGTCAGAAGTAGCAGGAGTTGTTTAAGAGCATCAGCTGGAGAAGCTTGTTGCCTTCCTGGTTTTAGATTTTATGTGGACACTTGGATTCCCACTATGAGAAGAGTTATTTTGGCAGGGGGCTACAATTTCCCCAATTTATTTATTTATTTATTTATAGTATTTATATTCCGCCCTTCTCACCCCAAAGGGGACTCAGGGTGGATCACAGTGCACACATATACGGCAATCATTCAATGCTGTTTTCTAGACATACAGACCAACAGACAGATAGAGGGTTTTTTGTTTGTTTGTTTTTTGTTTGTTTTTCAGGTTTTTTTTGGCATTTCCACTTTGGTGCCTGGAGGTTATACTCAATTCCAGCCGGGGGGGGGGGGGGGGGTTACGCTTCAACCATTATGATGGCGAGTCATTACATCATTTTTTTCCCTTGCTTTTTGACTGCTGACATTTTTATGGTGTTGTAAAATGCCTCCCCGCTTTAAGCGGTTCCTAATTTCTCTTCTCACAGCTCAGCTGTTTTCAAACTGATTAGGTGGACAGTAAGCTAAACTTAACAGTCAGGTACTCAATTCAACTCGGGCTTCGAACCTGTCACCTTCTGGTTGGCAGTGATCTATTGCAACTGGTGATTAGGTGGTGATTAACCAGCTGTGCTACAGCCCAGTCCCTAGCTATTATGGGTTAGGGTCTGGGAGTTGTATTCTGTAGTTTTTTGATTAATCCTTTTCACATTTTTAGAACAAGATAGCTCTTATCTGAAAGTAAACATAGTGTGTGTGCAACAGAAAACATAGAATTACACCATACATTAAAATGAATATATTTTTCTTGGTTTCTTAAGCACTTTTATCATAACACTTTTGGAAATTTAGTACGGTTTCCCAAAACATAGACATGTCTCCCCACAGTTTTTCTTTTCTTCAAGGACATTTATTTTTACTGAAGAACTGTTTTCATGTTTGCATCTGCTATGCTTGTTTCTCTCTCCCCTCCCTCCCTCCTCAGAGCAAGGTCATTGCTATTGATAAATCAGAAGCTGCAGTGAATCTCACCAAGGAAAATGCAGAAAGGTAAACATATACACATCCTGTATGCTGATGTCAAACACAGTTTCACTGAACTAGCACTTCATCTCATCCCCATTCCACATGGGAGCAAATGAGAAAACATCTTCAGGGGAAAAGAAACAACTGTCTTTGGGACTGAGCCTCCTGGGTGTGCACAGAATGTTGACTGTCTATTGGAAAGGAGAGGAGATAGAAAGAAATATCTTAAAACATGAACAGGAGCATCCCATGTCACAGTATTCTGTTTGTTATGGTTTTTTTCTTGTTAATCAAGTGTCCAGTTGCCCCTGTAAGGCGCTCTGGAGGCTGTCCAAGAGACAAGCACATGTGTATTTGTTTTAATAAGTAATCGGCTTATCTTCCCCAGCAGTTGTTTTCTCATATGCCTAAATCCAAATACAGAGCATTAAAACAAATGATTTTAAAGGGTCTTCTGTTTTAGGGAAGAATTAATACACTTAATATTTATTCATATGACAAAAGGAATTGCAGGTTAAAAATCCCAACATATTTCACTACCCCTCATAGTTGTGACATAGCTTCCAAATACACATATGGTATTTCCTTTCTTTGATCTTTTAGCCCTGGTTCTTTTTCTATGCAATACTGACTGTATCCTAAGTGTCCTTTGTGAATGAAACCCAAAGAGGATTTTTTTTAAAAAAAAATGTACCTGTAAGATATCTTTTCACAAAATGTGCCATTTCTTAGTTGAGCCCACTTCCTGAAATGTGTACACCTAATAGAACTCAACACTTCTGGTCACCTGTCAGCTATGGCAAAACCATGAATTTCATAGTTTCCTTAGGCAAGAAATGAGTAGAAGTGGCTTTCCATCCTCTGAAATATAGCCTACAGCACCTAGTATTAATTTATGCTCTCACATCCAAGAACTATCCATAGCTGATCCTGCTTAAAGATCAGGTGGGATGTGGTGTCTTTAGAGGATGTGTCTCATGCCAAAAGACAGGCAATACATATGGAGTTGTTGCATTGGTCATGCAGCAAAATGTCAGGAAGTTTAGCCGCAGAGTCTCAATTTTATATGTTTCATTATGTTCAGGGCTTACAATGGTGGACTCTAGCTTATGATATAAAAAAAGAGAAAGAGGCTCAGAACAGTAGATGACTGTTTAACCAGAGGTTACAGGTTACTAGCAATATGATTATTTTCCATTTTGGTAAGTGGGGTGAAGTAGTGCAGTCACATTTTAAAAATAATATAACAACTGGGAACCAGTTACTTTACTGAAGTAACAATTAATGCTGGCTACTTATTAAAATGCATTTAATGCATTTTTCAAGTTCTGTGCCATTTTTATCAGTCCTCAGTTTTTAAATAAACAAATAAAGCAATAAGCAACAGAAGAGTAATGCATTTTACCATTGCTAAACATTTCACAACAATTTATTTCTTGTGTACTCTAATGTGAAACAATTATTTTTTGCTTTTGGTAAGTAATTTTCCAGTGTTTGAGTTTAACACAGTAGTATAATATGAGAACTCATTCAAATCAATTGTATGCTGAAGAAAAGTCTGCTCAGGCTGTATCATTGTAAGACATGATTGTGAGATGTTCATAATTTCTTTTAGTTTGTCCAGAGTTTATCCAGGTTTTTAGATAGAGGTCATTAATCTTCCCAAGTCTTTTTGTACAACTTAATTTACTGACTGCATCACAAGCATGATTGAGTGAGGAGGAGGTGTACATATGCATGACTTCCTTTAATTCTATAGGTACTATTCTTATTTTAAATATATATAATTAAAATTTTCTCTTCTGGTTGGTTGGGGCATTTCTTTCTTGCCCTTTCTGCAGCACCCAGACTCATTTGAATGATTACAAATAATAGTGTGTTGTAATACTGGTATATAACCATGGGTGTAACACGTATGTAGGATTACACCTTTTCCAAGAAGAGTGCCATTTCTAGTTCACAGATTTAATTAGCCATCCCTCTGGGGGTGGGGGAAACATGGAGGACAAAGTGCCAACAAAATTAGCCTAGAGCCAACACATGAGCAAGTGGCAGTTGTTTTAGCTACTCTCGGGATATAGGTGTTATGTGCCTTCAAGTTATTTCCTACGTATGACAAATCAAAGATAAACTTGTCATAGGTTTCTTGGCAAGATTTGTTCAGAGAAGATTTGCTATTGCCTTCCTCTGAGACTGGGAGAATGTGGCTTGCCCAAGAACACCTAGTGAGTTTCCATGACTGAACAGGGATTCAAACCCTCATATCCTGAGTCATAATTCAGGACTCAAACAATTGCGCCATGTTTGATCAGTTTGATGAGAAATAAGGAAAGCACTGAACCATGAGTTGAGTGGACCAGGGATCTAATTTAGGATAGAGCAGATTCATACAAAGGATGTAGATTCCTCAGTCCTTGGAAGTACCTAATGCAGAAGAAGAATTATTCCCCAGCAAGGGGGAAAGTGTCTGACTCCTCTCCACCAACAAAACTGGGAAATGCAGTACAGTGGGCCCACCATATCTGAGGGATGTGCTTCTGGATTCTCTACACATATCAAAAACACAGATAATCACATACCATATTATTAAATATAGTAACATGAACATGCACACTTCAGCATCTTTGCATTTACATCACCTGCCATTTAATAATATGGGGTGTGATGATCTGTGGTCAGTTCTCGTATCCAGAACCCATGGATCGGGCGGGGGGGGGGGCACTCTATCATATTATGAAGAATTGCAGTCTGCTCTTATGTTCCCAGATTGTACCTCTAATAATATTCCTTTTTGTGTAGATGGGATATACTGTTTTTCAATTTGTGTTATGTAATCAAGTATATAACTAAAGGTCTTCTTGCAATATTTCCTAGACCATATGAGGCCTTGAAGAACTAAAGGACTACTTCTGTTTACATGATTCAGAGATGATGTAATCAGTCCTTGACTTAAATGAATGCTTTGTACATCGAATTAATAAATTACATTGTCGTGAACTGAAGGAGAATCACCAAGCAAAGCCCCCTCTCCATCTCAATTTATTTTACCCTTATGAGTAATCTACAGATATTAACCCAAGATGGACAGTAGCAGGATATACTGTAGCAAAACCACGCATTATTATTTTTATATATCTAGAGAACATTATCTCAGAATAATCACCCTAGGGATTCTAGCTTTTAGTGTTGTCTACTGAATTTATTATGTGATTTTTATTACAACGTTTTCATTGTTGTTTTGTATTGTGTATTTTTAATTTAGCTGTAGACCATCTGGAGTGTTGTAGATTAAATAAATAAATAGATGAGTTGTACATAAAGAGATAAAGTGGTTGCAGTAATGTAGATTTGCCCTGTTGTTTCCATGTGACTTTATTCTTTGTCCTGATATATAACTGTAATAAATTACAATAAACAAACATAATGTGGTATAGTGTTTTGGGTGTTGGACTAGGACCCCGGAGACCAGGATCTGAATCTGTGCTCAACCATGGAAACCAATAAGGTAGCCTTGGGCAAGTCACACTGTCAGAGGAAGGCAAGGGCAATCCTCTTATGGACAAATCTTGCCATGAAAACCCCATGAAAGGGTCACCTTAGGGTCACCATAAGTCAGAAGTGACTTGAAGGCACACAGTAGTAAAGGAAGCATACATGAAAAGGTGAAGTGCAGTAATTGTAGCAAACCAGTCTCCTCCTGTCCTTCTATGTGGCCCTTCCATTCTGACTGTTGGCCCATGAGGCAGAAGCTACCTGAATTTTAACAATGCTGGGTGTTGTAGTTCATCAGACTGTCTAAGAAGGAGACTCTATCTTTAACTGCTGTCACAGCAGAATCTGATTAGGAGCGGCTGGTGGGAAGCAAACATGGAGCTTTTCAAATTCACCTTTTAATTTCGAGTTATAACCTTGAGAGGGCTGCCAAGACCCATTCCCTGCAGCTGTTTTCCATGATGCCAGCATGTTAAGCCATGTTATCTTCTAATCTTAGTCAATTGCAAACTCACCCTGCCTTTTAAAACTCTGTGCTACAATGTTAGCGGATACCTGTGGGCAAAACTTGGGAGAGTAATACTTTGCTAATGAACACCACACCTGTATCTCAAAAGATTTGTAGTTGCTGGCTGATGAATTTTCTTTTCTTTCTTCCCTCCCTCCCCTTTTCCCCTCATTTGATTTTTGTTGGGATTTGCTTTGGGCTTCATTTCCCTGGAACTGGATGAGAAATGGGCAAGGTTGGGTACCTCCACCCCTTATTTCTTAATGGCACTCGAGACTGTTGTTCCTGGTTGTGTAAGAACTTAAAACAGCTGATCTGCCTGCATCAGTTCATAGCATATCTACTCTGCCTCAGATGCAATTACACATATTTTATTTAATCACACTTCTACTCTGCCCATCCTACATAAAGCCTGGGGGGACTTTTACACAGGGCTGTTCCATTTATGCCTCACAAGAGTACAGCAGCTAGCTGAAAGCTGCATGATTCAAAACATGGCTGTTCAAACAAGCATTCGGCTAATCTGTGGCAATTCGAATATTGATGACTAAGGACAGGAAACATCGACAACGAATTCTGGATTTCGATTTCAACTCGAGATATATGGGATTATTATTGGTGGCCCAATAATTTGTTATTGAATTTGTTATTATATGTGTATATGTTTTTAAATTGTAGATTGTTTTAACTGCTGTAAACCGCAATGAGTCGCCGTTCTAGGCTGAGATATTAGCGGTATACAAGTGTATCAAATAAATAAATAAATAAATAAATGATGGGCTCTGTGGGGACATGAACCCACTTTTTAGAAATCTTGATGCATGTCAGAATCTTCTGTACACCAGAACTGTACCAAAATAATTGTTGCTTGCCTGTGTACCCACAGGTTTCACAGTCATCTGCACGCACACGCACACACAATGTGGATGAGCTGAGACCAGCATGGCCTGACTAAGCCAACTAAATGTACTCTTAACTTATATTGGTTCTAATCAGAGATAAATTATTATCTCTGATTATGGGCTTAGAAGAGCCTGCCATTCCATATATCTCAGAAATCGTGTCTTCCTTCAATATCTGTTTTAATGGTTCATTTGGGCCAAAGTTAGTATCTTGCTCACTTATTTTTCACAGAAATAACTCCTTTCGGTTCAAAGCACAAAGTCCACACAAGCTGTGCTGTGGATGCAAAGTGGAACTTGGCATTTGGCCACAGCATAGCATAACAGCACCATATTGATCATTTGATGTTATAGCTTGCCATACTTCCATGCATGTCACCTTCCAGGTTTTAATCTTACACATCTATGTGATATAGGCCAGGCAACTCCAGGTCACCTATTCCCTTTTATAGCATGATAGGCACTTTACCCTAGTTCTTTGATATCCAAGTCCAGCAAACTCACACAGCATGGCTTCTAGGGACAACTTCTTTAATAATGAACTGTCTACCCCAGTGAGAAGAAAAACCAGGGAATCTGACTTTAAATAATCGGTTATGTGTTAGCCTGTATGAGCTGTGCAGTGGTCAGTGTGCTGAACTTCCAAAATAAATCTAGACTGATCACAAGCACCTTAGTAGTTAGCTTTGTGTCTTTTAAATGTACATCATTGTGGCATATAACATGATTAGTAGTGTAATTTGTGGGAGTGAGATTACAGAAAGAAATTCAAAATTAATTGCTTAATAAAATATTCTGGCATTATTGCTTGGTTTCAGAAGCAGCAACACTTTGTTTTATACTTGAGCTAAAGAAAACAACAAACGTAGTCTACAGTTCTGCAGTTTGATAACTGTTTATTTACTATCATGTGGTTTTGTTTCTGGGATTAAGAGTGTTTTTCAGTTATTAAATATATGGTATCTACTCTGTAGATTAAGTCTGCAGGAGAGGATCAGCGTCCTTCATCATGAGGTCTCTTCAAGTAAGTACCTTTCCTACTTCTTCTTCTCCAATTTATAAAGAACATGGATGAGAGCAGTAAGTACAAGTAAGGTGCTTGAAAGTACACCTTTACTCACTTCAGCCACTTTTACTCACCTTGCCTTTTCCCCAAGACTGGGACTCAAGTTGCCTTACAAATAAAAAGAAAAACAAATAAAACCAAGTGTAGCTTAACCCCAAAAGCTTAAAATATTATTAAACTGTCCATAAAATTAAAACAATTGAAAGCATTTAAAGCCTTCACTAAAAATAGAACAGCACATTAAAAATAATCTTATATGGAAAACAATCACTTCCCAAATGTCTGCTTGAATAGGAAGGCCTTTGCCTACAGACAAAAAGAACAGCAAGGAGAGAAGCCAACGTAGCGTCCCTAGGAAGAGAATTCCAGAGTCTGGAAGCAGCCACAGAGAATGCCCTGTTCTCCATTCCCAACAAGTGTGCCAGCAAACACTGCAGTTACTCGCATAAATAAAATTTTCAGTAATGTATACCTACAACATCATTTCTTTGTGCATTACACCCACACCAGACATTCATACGTATACTGCTTGCAGAGTGAAGAAATACAGTGTGAGAAGTTTGTTCAGATATACAGTGTTTTTCCTGTGTGCAAATATTGTGGTTGACCTCAGTAGCACAGAATGTCTTTTAGTATCTAAGCCTTTTTCACCTCCTTAACTGGGTGGAGAGAATCTGAGTGAATTATTATCTATATAGTTTCTGGGTTTATATTACTCCAGAAATGTTTGTAATGTTCAAACTAGAAACACTGGCATAATGTTGCTTTACACACCAAAAAGGCCTTTTGAACAAATCTTGCAAATATATATATATATATATATCCCTGTGCTGGGTTCATGTTAGGGTTGCCCTAAACTGGAAAAGACACAACAATAGATAACAAGTCAGGACTGCATCCTGCTTAATTTTCCCACAGTGCAGTTTAACTGGCATGAGAATATCCTGTGAAATCCTGTTGTTGTTGTTCATTCGTTCAGTCGTCTCCGACTCTTCGTGACCTCATGGACCAGCCCACGCCAGAGCTCCCTGTCGCCCGTTACCACCCCCAGCTCCCTCAAGGTCAGTCCAGTCACTTCAAGGATGCCATCCATCCATCTTGCCCTTGGTCGGCCCCTCTTCCTTTTGCCTTCCACTTTCCCCAGCAGAATTGTCTTCTCTAGGCTTTCCTGTCTCCTCATGATGTGGCCAAAGTACTTCAACTTTGTCTCTAGTATCTTTCCCTCCAGTGAGCAGTCGGGCTTTATTTCCTGGAGGATGGACTGGTTGGATCTTCTCGCAGTCCAAGGCACTCTCAGTACTTTCCTCCAACACCACAGCTCAAAAGCATCTATCTTCCTTCGTTCGGCCTTCCCTAAGGTCCAGCTCTCACATCCGTAGGTTACTACAGGGAATAAGACCATGGCTTTGACTAGGCGGATCTTAGTTGCCAGTCTGATGTCTCTACTCTTCACTATTTTATCGAGACTGGACATTGCTCTCCTCCCAAGAAGAAGCGTCTTCTGATTTCCTGGCTACAGTCTGCATCTGCAGTAATCTTTGCACCTAGAAATACAAAGTCTGTCACGGCCTCCACGGTTTCTCCCTCTATTTTCCAGTTGTCAATCATTCTTGTTGCCATAATCTTGGTTTTTTTGACGTTAGCTGCAACCCGGCTTTTGCGCTTTCTTCTTTCACCTTGATTAGAAGGCTCCTCAGCTCCTCCTCGCTTTCGGCCATCAGAGTGGTGTCATCTGCATATCTGAGGTTGTTAATGTTTCTTCCAGCAATTTTCACCCCAGCTTTGCAATGCAGTGAAATCCTAGGGTTTGCATTTTAGGGAAGGCACTTAGAATTCTCTACTAGTGGTCTACTTCTTTTCCAAAATATAAACTCCAGGATTTCATAGGATGCAGCCATGTCAGTTAAAGGAGAAATACTGTATAGTACTCTAATCATGTAGTATGAAAAAGCCTCTTGTTTGTAAATCAACTTTATTATTATTTATAAACATTGCCAAGTCCAAGATAGCCTTCAGTTATGTGCCTTACCAATAGCTATCTAGTCATTGTCTATCATAGAATCATAGAATCATAGAATCAAAGAGTTGGAAGAGACCTCATGGGCCATCCAGTCCAACCCCCTGCCAAGAAGCAGGAATATTGCATTCAAATCACCCCTGAAAGATGGCCATCCAGCCTCTGCTTAAAAGCTTCCAAAGAAGGAGCCTCCACCACACTCCGGGGCAGAGAGTTCCACTGCTGAACGGCTCTCAGTCAGGAAGTTCTTCCTCATGTTCAGATGGAATCTCCTCTCTTGTAGTTTGAAGCCATTGTTACGCGTCCTAGTCTCCAAGGAAGCAGAAAACAAGCTTGCTCCCTCCTCCCTGTGGCTTCCTCTCACATATTTATACATGGCTATCATATCTCCTCTCAGCCTTCTCTTCTTCAGGCTAAACATGCCCAGTTCCCTAAGCCGCTCCTCATAGGGCTTGTTCTCCAGACCCTTGATCATTTTAGTCGCCCTCCTCTGGACACATTCCAGCTTGTCAATATCTCTCTTGTATTGTGGTGCCCAGAATTGGACACAATATTCCAGATGTGGTCTAACCAAAGCAGAATAGAGGGGTAGCATTACTACCCTAGATCTAGACACTATGCTCCTATTGATGCAGGCCAAAATCCCATTGGCTTTTTTTGCCGCCACATCACATTGTTGGCTCATGTTTAACTTGTTGTCCACGAGGACTCCAAGATCTTTTTCACACGTACTGCTCTCGAGCCAGGCGTCACCCATTCTGTCTCTTTGCATTTCATTTTTTCTGCCAAAGTGGAGTATCTTGCATTTGTCACTGTTGAACTTCATTTTGTTAGTTTTGGCCCATCTCTCTAATCTGTCAAGATCGTTTTGAATTCTGCTCCTGTCCTCTGGACTATTGGCTATCCCTCCCAATTTGATGTCGTCTGCAAACTTGATGATCATGCCTTCTAGCCCTTCATCTAAGTCGTTAATAAAGATGTTGAACAGGACCGGGCCCAGGACGGAACCCTGCGGCACTCCGCTCATCACTTCTTTCCAAGAAGTTATCGGGAAACACCTGATTCCATAGAAAGATTTTAACTTGTGCGCAAAAGGCCAGTAAAGATGGTCTCAGGGCCCATGTGGGCTGTAAGGAGAAGATGCGGTCTTTCAAGTAGGCTGGGTTCTCCAGTCCAGACATTACTATGAACCATCTATTCTAAACAGAAGTCAGGATATGATCTAAGCTAGAGGTAAATGCAGCATGTCATGTGGAACAGGAATTTTCCCCAACAGTTTGTGAAAAACACCTCAACTGAAGTATACATGCACATAATTTAGGGAAATGATCTTTTGGTCTATCATTATGTGTCAGTTTTGTTTTCAATCTTTACATCTTTGTAGGTTCTTGGAAATACCTGCTGCCCTGGGGTTTAGTAGACACTATAATCAGTAATCCGCCTTATGTTTTCCATGAAGACATGACTCACTTGGCAACAGAAATCCACAGGTATTTATCTCTTCTGTTTATTTTCCTCCTCGCTTTGATGAAGATTGCTTGGAGTCTATGAACCAAACCAAACACATATTTGATCCATGTATCTACAGAAAACAGAAAAGAGTCCTTGAGCTGTTTAAAAACAAACAAAAAACATTATAACCAAGTTTGGCAGTACTTTTGTTGTGGCCCTTGAAATGTCACAAAATTGGAAACTTTTCTATTTCCCAAGTTATTTGTCAGTCATGCCTGCCCCTTAAAAAGACCTCCAGAAGCTATGTCTGGCTGCATATCTGCATGTTTGGTGCCAAAAATATCCAGATTTGGGCAAAAAAAATATGGAAGGGTGCTGGAAGCTTCAGAATCTCATTGGAGTTCTGAAGGCTGCACTAGATCCCGCCAGGGGTTGCACATTAGCAGCAGCTGTTAAGTGGTACAAAATTCAATAATTGAGGAAGAAACAAAATAGTTCCAAAAGGAACTTGGGCAGATGCATCTGTCTGCAGCCCTACTGGTCTCCACACAGTAGTGTGCAGACTGAACTCATCGTTGCAACTAACTCTTTAGAAAAATATGAAATATCTTAATTTATCCCTTCCCTGTGTCACATCTAGTTGGCTCTGAATATGCCGTCATCATTGGGACCCAGCTAGAACTCCCTTTCAGTCTCTAGGGAGCTATGACTATTTTAGCTGCTTAAGGACTCATATAGACTGAAATGAAATCATGTGTCTAGAACTATAGATTCATGTTCATTTGTTTAGTCTTCCTTAATTAAAGACTATTAAATCTTCCTTTATTATATGCCTGTCATTCTTCCAAGCATTGTAAAAAGAATGATAGGAACATGACCCACTTCTCATGCTGTATTCCCACCTACTTGGGGATTTTCTGTTCAGTCGAGTTCCAGTTTATGAAGTATGCAGAACTTGGGGTGTGATGAGGGAGGCATTCTGGCGTGACCTGTTGGTTGTTAAAATAGAATCATCAAAGCCCTTTTTGGTTCTTAGAGGAAGCCTCTGTTTAGATAAATGGACCAATTTGGTCATATCTAGCACTGCATTTTACATGCTACATGTAAATGGAGCTCTCTTGAATCACATATATACTCATGTACAAGTCGTTTTGGTTTGGTGTCCTAAATTATGGATTTTGATAAGGCCCATGGATAAGTCAAGAGTGTGTGACTTGCCCAAGGTCAACCAGTGGGTTTCCATGGCTGATAAGGGAACTGAACCCTCGCCTCCAGAATCATAGTCCAAAACTCAAACCACTGCACCATGCTGACTCTCTGTGGAGTTAGATGATTCCTTGTCCACTAAACCTTGTTTTTTGCTCTCTAGCTATGAAGACCTTGGTGCCTTGGATGGAGGCAGTGATGGGATGAACATCATCAGAGAGATTCTACATCTGGCTTCTTTCCTCCTTAAGGACTGTGGGTGAGATCAAATGTTGGCTATTCACAGAATCTATTACCGGGCTCGAAACTAGGGGAGTAAGGTTTCCTAAAGGATGTTGTCTGCTTTCATAATCAAAATTGCTTGGACAGAGAAGTACAGCAATTTGCGAATGAGAGGGACTTTTCAATTTTTCAGTTCCTGTACTTTTCTAGCATTGTCCTGATCTCGGATAAAGCAAGAATTGGGAAGAATACATAAATGGGAGGAGCGATCCTATGTTTGTTTACCGATTGTAGTACCTTTCCCTGTTCTGGTGTTCTTCTTTCATATATGAAAGGGAAAAAAGAGTTGAATGTTAGGGTGTATCATGAAAACTTTCTTTCTTGATGTGGGTCATTAGTGTGGGTCCTCATCTATTTTTCCTTGCTAATCTTATCCTTTTAGATATCGGAGAAAGGAAGCATCATATTTGGTGGCAGAACATTTATAGTGTTTAGTTTTGCATTTCCTCATTCCATATAAACACACACAAACTTTAGTTAAATATTTTTCCCCAAATAATTACTGTGTGTGGAGTGTATAAAGAGACTGCCAATAGAACAGTTCTTCAAATATAACGCAAGTGCCAACACATCAGGCCTTTAAGTATCAGCATTGTTAACTGTAGTAACCATTGTTGAAAGCCATTAAGTAAACAAATATCATAAATTGAAGGAACATGATAATTGTTCTGTCAATTCTCTTTCAAATCATTCATTAGAAAGGTAAGAATAAAGTGTTGGGTGCTTTCTGGAAAGTAATTCTAAAATACTGTAGTACAGTGAGTTGAGGCAGTTTCTTTTGGGGGGCAATGCAGGAAAGTAGCTGTGTCTCTGAATAACCATTCCTGTTACAACTGCATTGTTAGAAGGTGTGGCTCCCTAGTATTAAGGAGACACCCATTAAGAGAAAGAAAGCTGTCATTCCACTCCTGGGAATATTCACAAGGAAAGACTAGGAAGAGGGAAACCATGGTAGATGTAAACAAACAAGGCTGAGAAAGCTCTCTAATGATTGTGTTGGCTTCACTAATCAGATTATTACAAGTAGAGGTTTAACTGAATCGCCTCTTGGACAAAAGAAATGAGATTGTTAAAAAAAAACATACCAATATGCTGAACAAGTAACAGCTGACTGTCTCTTTATGCAATTCCAAGACTGGGAAAAATAGAAGAAAATGTCAATGACTCTCATAGGAAACAGCTGATGAATACACAAGACAGGACTTTGTTGGTAGAACAGACTTTACTGGACTTTTTAAAAACAGAGGTTGAATGGCTATCTGTCAGAGATTACTGACTAGATGACCTTTGGGAAACCTTCCAACTCTCCAGTTCTAGGATTGCTCTCAGGTTGTAAAACTTCCCTCCATATCTTTCCTTTGGCAAAGACTTTTGCATTAAAGGAGGCTTTTTACTATTAATGGAGTAACGAAAACAAAACGATAAAGTGGAGAACATGGTAAACTAATGAAAGGAACTCTAGACAGAGGGTATCTAACAATAAAATAATTGCTTGCTAATAGAGAAGAATGAACCCCATTTGAGCCACTATTGGTATGTCGCATGACATTTCCAAGTGACTGCCAACTCCCCTGATGTATCTGGCAGAGAAGAAAGGAAGACTCCAAAAACTTATGCTTCACAACCTCAGGAGAAAAGAGAGGGACATTTAATCTCATGACATCTGAATGCCCAACATTGAGCTTAGGCTATGCGGCCCAGCACATTTTCCTGAGAGTCAAGCAATGCTGCTGTACCTTTCAATTCCTAGCACCAAAAAGTTATGATTCAGGACCGACAACATCTCTCTGTCCTCATGTTGGAAGGGAAACTGAGAACAATGTATTGTCAAAGGCTTTCATGGCTGGAATCACTGGGTTGTTGTAAGTTTTTCGGGTTGTATGGCCATGTTCCTGAAGCATTCTCACCTGACTTTTCACCTGCATCTATGACAATGGGGTTTTGACCAGGCCAAAACAGCTCTGCTCCAAGACTTCTACTTCAAGAAGAGAATGCTCATATGCTAGAGATGCAGGAGTGGGGAAATTAGCACTGATGCAGTGATGACGGTGTCTGGCCCATGGCGCAGTTTGGCAGGGCAAAGTCCCTGGCTTTCAGAAAGCTTTCAGAAAGCTTTGACCAGTAATACTGAAGAATGTGCTAAGTTGGCCATCCCAAAATGAAAGGCTTAAAGATTTACTTTTGGAACAAAGGCCTTTTAAAAAAAGCATCTTTGTCTGAAAGAATAACCACTTGGAAGAGGGTTGAACATTTTCATGCAGTTTCAGAGGGCAAAAATAAGATTGCACTGGATTCCCCCCCCCCCCCCCCCCCCCCCCCCCCCCGGAAAAAAACATACAAGAGTAAAAAGTGGTAGCAAGTATATTGGTACATTCTTGTGGGTTTTAAAGAGCCCTGTTGACTTAACAGCCCAAGAAAAGCATCTTAAAATCTGTTCTGTAAAGTGTGGGCAGGAGTGTTGTAATCTCATGCTTCCGGTTCTATAGAAGTACTTTTCATTTTTAGCCTCAAAGCATCTTCAGTGTTTTCCAGGATCTGAGAAGCATTTTCCATTTTTATTTATTTGTTTGTTCCAAAGTGTCCTCTCCACCTCCCCACTTCAGTGGAGAAGGCAGCATTTGAGCCGGGGGGGGGGGGGCATGTTTTCATAGATCTCAAAGGGGATCCACGACCTTATGTGAATGTTTCAAGGATCAAAGTCCATAAAATTCACATATAAAACTTCCTTTCATCATCAATCCAGTTTCCAACCATTCCTCTGTCTCAATGGTAATCTCTAGGTTTGCAGGTTAATAAAGCTTGCTCTTCGTTTGAGTAGAACATATAGTAAGCTGTTATTAACACATATTTACACAACACATTTCATTCTGTGTGTTTATGTCAGGCATACCTTGCAAAGATGAAACTGTATTGGAATTCAATTAATTAAATATCAGTGACAGCAAAATCTTTAAACAAGGCTTAAAATATTCCGTGACAGAGCCCAGTTGATTCAAAGGGAGTGTCTTGTGCAGGGAAGCTCAGGAATCCTGAGAAGCATTTAAGAGCCTGGGTTTGGCTCTTTCTCCTTTGGTTTTATTTTGTAACCTGAAAACAGCCACAGACTCCATCCAACTGAGCATCTTGGGGATAGGTTTAGATACACAGTCATTAAGATGGATCTTTGTATGTACTGGAAACTTTAGACTTTGAGGTGAAAGGTTTATTCTGAGGAAAGGTGTTGGATCCTTAAACTCTGGACAGAAATTATCTTTGCCAGGCCAAAATACACAATATATTAGAAGTATAATTTCTCTTCCTATTTCTGAATTAGTATTTTTGTCGCTGTCAGATAGCAAACACCAGATAAGGCATGGCATTAGAGGAGGAAGCTTATCTTATATCCTCATGTATAAGTCTAGAAATTTTAGTCAAAAATCGAGCCCAAGAACTTGGGCTGATTTATCCACAGATCACTATTAGTACTGTACTTAACTGTTACCAAAAAAAAACCCAATCTCCTTCTCTGAGAAGAGGGGTGGGAGACATCCCTAGAGAACCTATAAGAGGTACTCTTCACTCTCTCCACAGTGTTACTGCTTCTGGGCTTTTTGAATGATTAGTTGGGAAAATGGTGAGGGTGACCAGGGACAACTGGCTCCCTGTGGTGGCACGGATGCTTTTCTCTCTCCACAGAATGAGCCTTATCTAACCCACACGTTAGATCAAAATTCATAATTTTAGCCTTGCAGCCCGCCCTTAACTGAAACATGAAGCTGACTTATACACAAGTATATACAGTAATGCTCTTCATTCTTTTATTGCCTGTTCTGATGAAAATTTTCCCAACCCAGAAACTGTTATCTGTTGGGAAATTCGCTTGAGACTGACAGCACATTCAAGAAATTTGACATTTTAAAAATATATTTTATTGGACTCATATCTTATCCCTCTCTTTCCCAGAAAATGGGACCCAAAACAGCCATTCCAATCTCGATAGTTCTCAATCTTGATTTCACTCAGTTCTTACCACCAGCCACAGTCATGATGATAAGAAGATAAAGGCCGTGCAGTCTGGTATGATCGCTGATATTTACTCTATGTACTTAAAACAGATCCTATTTAAGTAGGGGAGTCCTAATTGTTTAGTTTTATGCCTCATGTGAAATAATTGGTTTGGCTACTCAGAAGATTATTTAGTTGATTGGATGTTCAGTTATCTTAGATTTCACCCTAAATTAACAAAATCTCAGGGTACCATAGAAAAAAGTTAGCATTAAAACTATTTTAAAAGAAAGACTTTTTTAAAAACAACCCAAAATCCTGTTAAACAACTTACTACGAACTGAAACATTTCAAAATGAGGTGCCTGTCCAGATTTGAACAAAATCACACCCCTACCTGCAAATAAAGCTTTGATGTAAAATTAGAGGGAGAAACATGTGTTTCATTGTTGGCAAAGGGAAGGAAATATCAGTGTCACACAGGTCTCCTGGGGATGAGAGCCCACAATTGATACACCATAGAAAACAAGGATTATTTTTTTATTAGTTTCTTTTTATTTTTTAGATTTTTTTAAAAAAAAAAAACACCTCAAAATGCTATGCAAAATCCTCACTTCCGCCCCCCCCCCCCCCCCCCCGGGCCTGGCTTTGGTGTTCAAAAGGGTCTTCCTTGTGCCTAAAACCACTTGTGATTTGTGAGAGAGACTTCCCCCAGGTATGTATGTGTGTGTATACACACACATGCATACATAAACATACACATATCCATATACAAACACACACATGCACATAGATGCACAAACACAGGAGCTCTTGGGAATATGGTTGCTGTATTGAAAACTGAAAGGAGACTCTTACAGTTTGGGTAGAAGAAGAATGTCACATAACCAACACCTACTGAAATTCCTTCTTCCACACAACCACGAAAAGTGCAAGATCTGTCTTTTCAGCCCTGCAATCCTCTTTGGGAACTAAAAATGGCATTGAGAGGACTGTGTGAGTCTTTGCCCACTCCTGCCGTAGATACTTTTCAGAAACCTAAATCCAAGCATGTTGTAGGCGTATCAAAGAGTTCTGCGGAGGAGCAGTTTCTGTAAGCATGTACAATACTATCATGCAAAGTATTTTGTAATGCATATGATATTTCCTTCTTCTTATCATGTGTTTAATATGACTTATATAGTGTAGTTTTAGGAAATGAAATACAAAACAAAGTAATCATTATTCAGATTAGGTACTAGTAAAAACACATGAGTCTGTCCTGCTTCTTGGAAGGATTTCAGATCAGTAAAGCTCCCATGTAATTGTGTGAAGTTATTTTGTCCCTCCCTTTTCAAAGCTGTTCACATGAGTTAGCAGCTTCATTCTTTCACAAGTTTTCCAATCTGACGCAAATATAGGCCAGCCCATTCACTACCCACACACAACCTTGGCTCACCCCTGAAGGGTATGAAAAACTTTTTAAAAGCACTGAAGGGGAAAACCCCTCCAAATAGCCCAGTGATAACTTAATAGTATGGAAAGTTGGGCGTGTGGGAGGTGAGGCATGGAAACCTGTTGAATGAGTAGGTGGGGGTGTGGAACTCAATAACTGAAAAAAAAGAGAAATAGACACAGATAAGGGAGGCAGAAATACCTTTGTGTTTGATTGGAAAGATCCTTTGCTGGCTCACTGTAAGAAAGTATTGTAAAATATGTTCACGGTCAGAACCCAGCATTACCCACTGGAATTAGTTGAGAAATCTATTTTTAAAAATGCATCTAGTCAGTATCCCTGACCATTAAAAAAGCAAACAAAAAACACCAACAAACCTAAAATGAGAGATAAAACAAGAGGGGGAAGGTATAACCTTAGGTGGCTCGAACCTTAAAATGCAAGAATCCCAACAGTTTTCTTTCACAGCTCTATTTGTTTTTGTTAAACTTTTCCCCATATGTTCTTATGACACAATGTTCCATTCTAACAAAGCAGTGATACCACCAGATCGTGATGTTTATATGTCTCTATATATCAATAAACACTTTGGTGGACAGTTTGTTACTCTCTGACATACCCGTTAGTTATCTGTACCAAAATTATTTCTGTGTTTCATTTCTGTAAATAGTAGAGGCAGAAGCCTTCCTCTTTTGGAGTGCTGACAAAATTGAGGAGGAGGGAAGTTTCTGGGAGGAAGGATGTGCAGGATTTATCAGTCCGGTAGTGGAAAGATTAATTAATATAGTCACTTAGGACATGAAATTTACTCTTGGACACTTTTTGACCTCCCATCATTTTTTAATTTAACCTATGGGGTTTTTTTTTCACCTTTAAAGCCCTACATAGTTTGAGTCCAGGTTACCCAAAGGATTGCCTTCTCCAGTACAATCCACCCTGAACACTTAGGTCCTATTGGGGGGGGGGGGGTTTTACTCCAACCAGCCAGAACCCGACTGGCAACGTTTACCCAGAGGACCTTTACATCGGCCACCCCAAGACTGTGAAATAATCAACCAGAAGAGCTCCATCAGCTAAATAATAATAAGCTTTATTTATACCCTGCCTCCTCTCCCTGTAGGGACTTGGGGCAGCTTACTGTCGGAATTTAAAAACCATCTAAAGATCTATCTCTTCTGGCCAGCCTACCCAGACAGTTTTTAAACATGAATTTGAAGCATGTGTTCTTTGTTTAATCTCTGTTTTGTGTAGTTTGATACATATTTTATAGAAATATGTTTCAATATGAATCTTTTATAGAAATCCATGTTAATATGTTTATGTGTTTTCAACATTCAGTAAGCTGCCTCGATCCACGAGGAGAGGCGAGTAAGAAATAAAAATTATTATTATTATTGTTATTACTACTACTACTACTACTACTACTACTACTATAAGGTGTAGTTTTCCCACCTGAGCAGTTGTCCTTAAGTGCTGGATCAACATGGGGTAAATAAATGTGCTCAATACATTCAAACTCAGTTTTGGATACCCCCTAGTCTTATTTCATAACATATAATTCTGGCCCTCAGAGCCAATTGAAATCTTTTGCAAGATTTGTGTACATGGTACAATCCTCACAGGACTATATTGCCTTGAAAATGCACAGGTGCAGGACCATTTGCCTGTAAGGATATCTATGGTACATCAGCCCATTCTACACCTGACCTGTCATCTTTTTGTCATTTTTTGGAGACATTCATGCTTCCAACTAAATTATACTGTTATGTCTTCAAGAGAATAGAGCATAGTAGATTTTAATACATAACTGCATTCAAATATGCAATATTTATTGGCTTTTAAGGCATTGCTACTCAAAGTGGTGGTTGCTGGACCAGTATTGCTCCATAAACCATTGGGTGCCACTCTAGAGATTGTCCAGGAAAGTTGAAGTCAGTGAACACAAATATTAGCCCCTGGAATATTGAGGGTAGGGAGAGAATTACTATCCTACCCTGCATATAGCCCAAGAAGGCCAACCTTAGGGTTATTGGAATTCAAACCAATTCTGATTTGGTTTGATTCATTGTTGATCCCCTGATTACATTGATTGGGTGTTGTAAACATCGGTAGTACATGGATGGCCATCTGTTGGGGTGCTTTGATTGTGCTTTTCCTGCATGACAGGGGCTGGGCTGGGTGGCCCTTGTAGTCTCTTCCAGCTCTATGAGTCTGTGGATTTGTATAGATTATTAGGTTATTAGAAAAGTCGCAACTAAAGTCCCCATTGGTTATTAAAGGTTTTTTAAATATATATAATTGAAGGTTTCTTTGGGTTTGTTTTAAGTTTAGTTGTTAGCATTGGTATTGTTAATGTTCTTCTTCAATGCTTCTGTCATTTCTTCTCTATTCGAGAGTGACCAGTGGAAGAAGCAAGCAAAATGAACAGTAACTTCCAGAATAATAATTAATAATGGTGACATTTAAATGTATTTAACATTTATAATTTTTAGGCTTATAAAATTGTATAATTTGTTAAGATTATGAGCCAAAACATCTCCCATCATACTTTCTGCCAATTGGACTAAAGAGAGAAGCATGGAGATGGGCAGTAGTGAGGAAGCTGAGGTAGAATCACTCAGAGGGATCCCACAGAAAACATCTTCTCAAAGGTCCTGCAAAGTATCTGAGACATGAAATAAAAATGCCATACTTCATTCCCCCAAGTAAAGGGAAGAACTTCATTCCAGTGGATTTCATGGGCTATGTCATCTAGATCATTCTGTACTGTACTTAATAATAGCGACATGCCCAGCTCTCATAGTCTATGAATTGATCTGTGGACAAACAAGCATATAACTGTGTCAGCACTCTCCCGGCTCTTAATTTACTTCAGGCTTATGAGGTTACAAAGCTGCCAGAAGTGAGCAGTAAAAGTGGTAGTAATAGAAGCTCAGTGTGGTTGAGCAATCACACCAAAATCACTTCAGCCTGTGCTTCATTTGACATGGATCGGCAAAGCCCATATTTTCAGCATCCCAGCTTGACCTTGTGAAGTGTCTGCCTACCCTCAAAGAAATGCTGATTAAAATATTCTCTAATTTCTTCCATCTGCTTTCAGAAGTGTTTTTCTGGAAGTTGAGCCCAGACACCCAGAGATGGTGAAGAACTGGCTGCGTGGTCAACCTGACCTGCCTCTTGTTGTCTGCGAAACACACAAGGACTTTTGTGGAAAGTAAATCTAAATGTCAACATTCTTTCTTATTCTATTTGTTAGCTGGCTAACTGATTGTGCTGCCCAATATCTGAAGTGCTCTAGAGTGTGGTGGTAGTTTATTTATATCCCTTCTTTTTCCCAATACAGGGACTCAAGAGTAAGACAAACACAAGATAAATGTCCTCCAAAAACATCAATAAAAACATACAAACATTATTAAAATGCAGTTAGATAACATATAAAATTAAAACAATTTAAAGGCCAATTTTGGTTTATTTCTAGGATCCTGTAAAAATAAAAAAGTTTCCATTTGCCGACAAACAGCAAGAAGAGAGTGGCATCCTGGCTTCCCTAGAGAGATAGTTCTGAAACTTGGGAGCAATTATTGAGAGGCTCCTCTCACCTAGTTCCCACCAAACATGTCTAGAAATGTGGTGGAAGTAAGAGAAAGGCCTACCCTGAAGTTATTAAAGTGTTATAGAAAAAAGCCTTTTCAGAAGGCCTTTTAAATTCATGGAATAAAGTTAAAACAACAACAACAACAACAATAATAATAATTTATTTATATACCTTCCTATCTCCCCTAGGGGACTCAGAGTAGTTTCCACATATGCAAAATAATACAGAAACATACAATATAAAACAAAAACATAGGCATAAACTGTTAACATATACATTAAAATCAGTTTAAAACCAGTTCCGTTCTCTTCATGCAAGGTAAGCTGCCAGGGGCAAAGATTTCAATAAGGGGCCTGGACTATTTGGAACGGGCTGGGCCAAGGCTAGTGCAAGGAAAGGGGGAAAATGGGCCTGGCCAAATGATACAGTGCAAGGATTGGTCTCAGCAGTGGCCCTACTAGGGGAACAGAGCCACTCAATACACAAATGCTGCCCTCTGAAGTGATGTCACAGAAGTATGATAAATACTGGAATGAAGTGCTCTGTGTTTGAAATATTGGAGTACTTTGATGAAAGGAAGCTTTAGAGCAGGCCCATACAACTTGTTTTGGACTTCAACTCCTGGAATTCCTGACCATTGGACAAATTGGATAGGGCTTCTGGGAATTGGAGTCCCAAACACATGGAGGGCCACAAGTTGTGCATGCCTGCTTTGCTAGTGATTTTATGAAGGGGAATAGAAGCTACAGAATCCAGTAATCTCATGTAGTTTCAAAGGTTTATACCACATTGAACTGATTATTTTGTATCTTGCATAATTTATTGCATAAGGTTTAAGACTTTGGTTTGTCTGTTTCCTTTACAGACTAAGATTCCTGCATATTCAGAAGCATGGGAGGTAAAGATCACAGAAGATCAGGACTATTTCTGACTTCCTATCATTGTTGTCTTTAGCGTCCCTGGATCCAGTGAAGAATATGTCTTTTAGAACCAGAGAAAATCCTGTTGGCAAAATCTTGGCAGTCAGCTTAGTTGTCCAGTGGGAAAAGAGAATATGAGTAGTTTATATTTATGTATAAAATTACCGTGTTTCTTACACTTTTCTGTGGACTGGTTGCATGGACTTTGATCAGATGTTTCAGAAAAACTGGACTCCTTTTGATGTATTTACTGGAATAGATGCACATTTACTGAATTATTGGAGTGGGCAACTTGTCACCCACCCAGTTCTCATGGCATGCAGATCCCATCAGCCTTGGCTGTCATAGCTGCTGTGGAAGAATGATGGAAAGTGGCATCCAAAAACATCAAGTGAACTGGAAGAACTCACTCCAGCCTGAGAAGTTTCAAATATGAGATCAGTGATGTCTATTGAATTGTAGCTGGTATTTGAATGCAATATATATTGTACATCCTGCATTGCGTGAAAAGTATCACAACGGATACTATCTATAATAGCTTGTGTCAGAAAGTAGAAAGAAAGAAATATAAGAAAATGGAAACAAAAAGGTGTTCTACTCACTTCAGGATGGTTAAAATATTCAATATTGACGGATGACTTCCTTTAAAAAAGCCTAGTGCTATAAAAGAAACCCAATTTTCTGCTCCATTTTCTAATGCCTGAACTAGTGGCTGCTAGGGATGGATTCTGAGACAGGCAGTGCTAGTGTGAGGATCATGTGCTGTCTTGCCTCGTGCAAGTAGACATAGCATCCATGTGATCAGAATGCTTTGCTGTAATGGAACATTCCACCTGAAACACACTGTGGACCACTCTAAGCCTTGTAACATTCAACACAACTTTGCAGCAATATTTTGACAGGAAGTTTTCATAAATGCAAATGTTTAGTTACAGCTGCCACTTTGTTCTAGTGCACAGCTTATATATGATTGCTAAGGAAAACTGGAGAAAAGTCAATTCCTTTGTTTTTTGTCTCTTCTTATGGATGCTATCAGAAGTTTGATGGAAGGCCAACTTTGCAGAATAGACTGGATAAAGTTAAACTTTAGGATTTGAGAGGTGTGCATGCCTCAGATTCACTTGGAAAGTGACAAAAGCTATTCTTATTACCACATGGAGCAACAACATTTCTGTGCCAGATACATGCAAGCTAGCAAGTTCATGTTAATCTCCAGTAAAATTGAATGGGATTTATATATTGGCCTCCTGTTTAGACTTGTTTTCCTCATATTTTTGATCAGGAAAAATTATTCCTCCTGCATGAATGTCTAAAGAGGAAGGAGATGAACCTGAAAGAAAACAAAAACCCCAAAGTGTGTGTGACAAATAGTGGAGGGTTTTCATTTCCAAATGGGTGGCTTGCTTCCTGGACAGAGCTAACCAATAGATGACTGACTGAATATGAACAGGAGCCGAATATAGACAAAGGAACGAGCCAGCTTGTGATTTTACGCAAAAAATCTCTTCTGGTACTTACTTCTTTCCTTGTGAACCTCTGGACAAGTTACTTGAAGGTGCATTCATGAGATCATCCTTATTTAAGACTTAGGTAATGCAAGGTAATATGAAATATAAAATTATTTTTTGTATTATTATTAGTATTATATTGTATTACATTATAATATTATCAATATTATATGTGTATACAATATATTATATTAGCACAGCACAATTAGCAATCTATCAGCAACAGATTCTAGTTCCTAATAATTTAACACAAAGGCAGCAATGAACCATTCCTGCCACTCTCCTATGTTAGACTGCTGTTTTCTTTGATAAAAAGGAGTACCAACCATTAAGATGTATTAGGGTGCCATACATACTTGAGAGGACTTGGTTGGTGTTAGTTGCTATTGACTTCCTCTTCAATGTTATCTTAAACCTGCAATTAGTCTACTTAGGAAAAACTCATTGTAACGTGTATCATTTCTAATGTTACCTTCATTTTTGGCCCCTTTGGTTCTTCTACATAGTTACGTGGCGACACAGTTCTCAAAAGCAACTAAAATGTTTTTTATAGTAATAAACATCTTACTTACATTATATTTCTCAGTGTCTATTTTAGGGATACTCAAATTGCTCTGATTCAGCATATTTAGTGTTCACATCTTTAGCAGTGTATGCTTAAAAGGGTTGTTTGTTGCAATGCTTACTTTATTCTTCCAGTAGTCATCCTGTGAAGTCTGTTGCCTTTGGGTTGTTGTAGGTTTTTCAGGCTATATAGCCATGTTCTAGAAGCATTCTCTCCTGACATTTTGCCTGCATCTATGGCAAGAATCTGTTGCCATTGTTCCTAATTTATGAGCGGGAACTGATGCAGAGTTCAATTTGCCTCAATAGAACTTGCAGCCACGGCCATCAAGCTCTGTGCTACCTCATATGATCTGAGTTTATATTCCTGTATTCTGTCCTCACATTTTCTCCATTTAATAAATGCTCCAGTGAAGGCACATTCTGTGAGATGGCATGGGAAATGCTGACCTCGCCTCTTAAGGACATGGGTGGAGAGAAATGCCATTCCTTCTTTCCTGAAGTTGTATTTCTTTGCCAGAAAGCCCTGTTAAAAAAGGAAGCATGCCATTTTTTCAGGACATTTTGTACCACAACATCTAATACATGTTTGGAAAAACAGGATAGACGTTTTGCAGAATATATTAACATGGTATCCTCTGAAGGCTCAGCACTCCTCCCAGGTCCACTGTTTTCCCCAAGAGAGTGGTTTGGAGCACTGAATTTGACTGCAAGCTCTCTGAGGAGTTCATAATTGCTTTCTAAAGCTGCAGGCAGGCAATATTGCCATTTCTGTCATTTTACATAATCATATCAGAATTTAATAGGCCTCATTCTTAGTTAGCTGGCACATGGTTTAATTTCGTTGGAGCCTCTATAAAGGCAGAGGATCTGTTTTTCTGAGCTATAATTGGCAGAAGTTGGGTTTTATTTTTCTCCCCTGAAGCGGCTGGAGATTGGGTTTCTTTGGGGACAGCGCGCTGCATCTGTCTGACAATTTTCAGATTTCCTGGAAAAGCCTCTAGAAATAACATGGGGCTTTGCAAAACTGCCAGGAGGTGGCGCAGTGATACCAACTACATATGTTTCATGTTGACTTCAAGGAGTAGAGGCTGATGTGGAGACTGGGGGCTGCTCCATGCTCTATTGCAGGGGTCCACAAACTTTTTAAACAGAGGGCCAGGTCACAATCCCTCAAACTGTTGGAGGGCCGGATTATTATTTGAAAAAAAAACATGAATGAATTCTTATGCACACTGCACATATCTTATTTGTAGTGCAAAAAAACACTTAAAAACAATACAATAATTAAAATGAAGAACAATTTCAACAAATATAAAATTATTAGTATTTTAATGGGAAATGTGGGCCTATTTTTGGCTGATGAGATAGGATTGTTGATCGAGCGTGGTCTACTCTATGAGGATAGGATTGTTGTTATTGTTGTGTGCTTTCAAGTAGTTTCAGACTTAGACCCGTCGCAAACTAGCCTCCTGCGGGAGCAAACTGTGCCAGCACGTCCCTGACGTCATGAGACTCCGCCTCTCTCCCCGCCCCTTTCTCTGCCTCTTTCTCCGTGCCAGAGTGTTTTTTCCTTTGCTAGGGCAGCATTGCCCTAGCAAATTGAATTCTGTCAACAACGAGAGTATGCTGGCAATGCTGCCCTAGCAAAGGAAAAAACACTCTGGCACGGAGAAAGAGGCGGAGAAAGGGGCGGAGAGGGAGGCGCAGTCTCATGACGTCAGAGACGTGCTGGCACAGTTTGCTCCCGCAGGAGGCTAGTTTTGCGGCGGCTCTTAGGCTGACCCTGAGTGAGGGCCAGGTAAATGACCATGGAGGGCTGCATCCGGCCCCCGGGCCTTAGTTTGAGGACCCCTGCTCTATTGTTACCAAAGGTGCTTTGATTTCAGGAAGCTGTCTCTTCAATCTGAAACAAAGTAGGAATCTCACTTAGAGATGTTGGGCTCCCAGCAAGGTTTCCCTTCACTCAAACTGGCGTTGGTTTGGGGCCCTTCAAGCCTCTGAAAATGGTGGAGGTTTGTAACAGGGTTTTTTTTTTACAAAATAGGATAACTCTAAAAGCATTTTAAAGAATACAATATAGACCAGGGGTTCTCAGACTTTTTCAGCCATGGAGTCCTTTTTGAAGCAAAAGTTTCTCATGGAGCCCCAAGAAATGTTTCTATAGTATATATTATATATAAAGTAGATATATCAGACTTGGGCCGGGTCAGTGGCTGGAGAGTGTTTCTTTGAACTAATTCACACAGTGCAACAAAAAAGGAAAGAGAGAACAATGCAATGCAATATTTAAAATTGGTTAGAATTTTAACCAACATAAACTATACAGTATTTCAGTGGAAAATATTTGGGGCCACACAGTACAGTCCCCTTCGGACATCCAAGAAAAACAATCAAAGCACCTCCTGAGCTTTGGGAGGGAAATAGGATTTTGGAAGAAAATAAAACAGACAGGAGGGTCTGGGTGGCAAGAAAAAGAGTCTGGGCAGCAAGTGAGGCAGGTGGAGAAAGGGAGTGTGCTCCAAGGATGCTGCTCCTGTTGTTGTTTCCAGCAGGAAGAGGCAGGAAGCAGCATGGCATCACAGAGCCAAGGGCTTAGCGGAGCACAGTTTGAGAACCCCTGATATAGCCCATCAATAAGAAGGTGGAGCTTTGTCTCTTCATTTGCTTGTGAATGTCACCACAAATGCAGAAAAGACAATCTGCAACCAAGGAAAGAGGGTAGGTGTGTACCTCATCGGCATTCATTGGGTGGCTTTGTCTAATTTCTCTATCTTTTGCCAAAGATTTATTTATTTATTATTTATTTATTTACCTTACTTATATACCGCTGTTCTCAGCCCGAAGGCGACTCACAGTGGTTCACAACAAATACGAACAGCAAAAATTCAGTGCTACAGTATAGAAACAGTTAACAACCTAACACATTACACAATTAATAAACAGTTACTACAATACCCATTCACTGTCGTCTCGTCGTTTATTGATGTTTTGTTTGATGTACTTTGGGCTTGACCTCATGTAAGCCACACCGAGTCCCTTGGGGAGATGGTAGCGGGGTACAAATAAAGATTATATTATTATGATGATGATGATGATTATTATTATTATCACAAGAACAGGCAACCTTTCTCTATCTTGGAAGGCTAAATGGGAGCCCTTCTCTAGCTGAGCTTTGCTATCTCCCATAGGTTGTGAATAGCTGTAGTTGATGTGAGGAGGCTTCCCTCCACCCCATCCCCAATGGAAGACTAAGATGATAGTGATAATGGGCCCTGGAAAAAAGGAAGATCTCCAGATCTTTCAGTAGGGAGGAGGCAGGACACCTGTGTTTTGTTTTCTAAGAAACATTTCTCGGATTCCTGTGTGTTGTGCATGAGTCACATTTGCTTCCCATAAGTACAGCCTGGAAGTGGAAGCAATGCCTTTGATTTCAAAATATGACTTCAAGTGCAGGGGCGAAATTCACATCTCACAAGTAAGATGCCTTTTGGTTAGTACAGATTGAGCATCCCTTTTCCCAAATTTCAAAACCCAGAATACTCCGAAATTGTTCACATGAGTGATTGTGATAATGATACCTTTGCTTTCTGGTGGGTCAGTTATACAGGAGGTTATTTTAACCTCCTGTATAAAATTACCTTCAGGCTATGTGTATAAGGTGTATAGAAAACAAAGGAATTTCATGTTTAGACTTGGGTCCCATTTCCAAGACATCACATTATGTGCATATATGCAAATGTAGGTATTCCAAATAGACAATGGATGTTCAACCTGTATTGTGATACAATAAATAAGCACAACTAAAACTATCTGTCTAATGTAACAGACTGGAAGTTTTTCTTTCCCTGTGGGCAAAGGACTGATACATGTTTGTACCATGTTATTATCATGTTTGCATTCTCTCCTGGAAAGTTACTACAGATAAGCGCCTAATGACTCTATCTGTGTACTTCCACTTTGAGTAGTACTGCATCAAACCATAAGCTAGATGGTAGATAGTATGGGCTCTCTTAGAACAAGAAATTTAACTACAACCCCTGAATATATCTAACTCCATTAGACCAGCACGCCTCCATGGACCAGTGCTGGTTCATGAGCCACCAGCTGCCAGTCCATGGAGCGTTACCAAGAGAAAAAGGAAACTATCTTAGCCATTGGAAAGAAATATGGTACAAGTTACTGGTACATTGGGGTGGGAGTGAGGGATGTCAGTCTTCAACATTAACTGTCATTAGAAGCACTGCATAAGATCACATACAGAGTAACTGAGGGATCCTGAAGGAAAATGTACATTAGTAAAGAAAAAGAGTAGTCTTTACCTGTTTCCAAACTCATGTGGCATCTGAGAGACTCCTTTCAACTTGTGCTTTACATGTTTATTTCTTGGTTTTAAAGGGAAAAAAACATCGGAGGCTGGAATGCTGCAAAGCTTACAAATCTTTAATCTTTTCTAAGATTACTCTCAGAAAAATCAGAAATCAAAAGAAATAGTTGCAGGACATGAGTTCATTTTGAAGTACAGTATATCAAAACACCGAGAAAGAGATAAGCAGGGTGGAGGGATCATCAGCGGCCTAAGATTTGGCAGAGGCACATTAGGGAGGGGACTGGCATTGAACAAGCTAGTTAGAAGCAAGGTGTCTTCTATGAGCAGTCTTATCAGTTTCCTTGTCTACCATGTCTCTGCTACTTTTTGCTTTTGTATAGTGTGAATTTTGCCTTCTAAAATGTGAAACAATTCATTAATTTGGGTGCCTTCTGTCTATGTGATGAGCTTACCTTTGGTTCTCTGAGTGCCACCAGTGTTATAGTTGTTATGTGCCTTCAAGGCATTTCTGACTTATGGCAACCTGAAGGTGAACCGATCACATTTTTTAAGGTGAGAGTTATTCAGAGGAGGGATGGCATTGTCCAAGATCACCCAGTGAGTATCCAGGTATGCCTTCTGTTAAATACTTTAAGCAGGGAAAGGGAATAAATAATATGGGGATTGGGTGCCCTGACCTCGTCT